TTTTTATAGTAACAGTAGTGGTCGTGCAATGTTGGTTCCCTTAAGCTTTCGATCCAACCCATGTAGCGAGCTTTAGGTCAATGACTCCCAAACCACCAAGGCTTTAGGGCACTAGGTGTAGAACACCCCTAAGGACTTATTAACTCGAGTTGAAAAGGCTACGAAACCAACTAACCACCCTGCCTCATGCCAAAACTCTACCGTTTGACTCGAGAATCACTGTTGATTAGGCAGGACTGGCCCGGTTACTAGGCAAAGCCTCGGGTGAGACAATTATTACTTTATAACACATACTAACTTTATTTTATATAGAACAAAAATTAAAACACACTTAGACAAAAAGTAAGTATTTCAATCTCACTCCCCACAAACCATGTTGGTGTGATGTGCAAATTTCAAAGTGTAATTCATGAATTAGTGTCTAAGCAACAATAAATAGAAAAGACTCTAATGTGGGATTGATCTTCACCATGTCCATTTGTTCTAACATTTAAAATAATCTATGAATATTAACTTAAAAACGAAAATTTTAAAAGACTCAAAAAAAAATTAAAAATCTAAAATTTACTTTCCCACCACCAAACTTAAATAACACATTGTCCTCAAGGTGTGGAAAATAAAAGAAAGAAATTAATAAAAATAAAATAGAAAAATAGAATGCTAGCACAAAGAAAAGAAAAAAAACGGAGAGAAACAAAATAGAAAGAAAGGAGAAGAACACACCCGGATGCCAATGAAATGTTGCACAGCAGCCCACTTGTTGGATGAATTGACCATTAACATGGGTGGCTTGAGTATTTTCCTTGGCATTGGATAAACAAAAAGTAGAATCCAATGGACTCTTGACTAGAGCCAGCCAACGGCTCTCTTTGCTTTTGCGTGTCAGAACCCACGTGGGTGATGTGCATCGCATGAGTCATTGACCCTCCCACGCCTTAGTCATTTCGCTCATACTCCATTTAATTTTTTTTTTTTTAATTCCAAAACTCAAAACAGTCCCTCTCTCTGTCTCTGACCTCTGCCAAAAAGAAAGCTCTCACTGGTTCACCAAATACTGACTGTGGCAAAGATGGGTGGAAGCTGTAACATCGTGGAGATCTCCACATTTGAAACAATACCCAGGTCTGCACGTAGCTCTTTTATTTATTTATTTATTTATTAATTTCTTTCTTTTATTTTCCACACCTTGAGGACAATGTGTTATTTAAGTTTGGTGGTGGGAAAGTAAATTTTAGATTTTTAATTTTTTTTTGAGTCTTTTAAAATTTTCGTTTTTAAGTTAATATTCATAGATTATTTTAAATGTTAGAACAAATGGACATGGTGAAGATCAATCCCACATTAGAGTCTTTTCTATTTATTGTTGCTTAGACACTAATTTATAATTTCGAATTCCGTAAACTTGCTGCTGGGTGCATGATTCCAGTATAGGAATAGCTGCCTTTAATGTTCATGTAGACTTGCTACTGGGTGCATGATTCCAGTGTAGGATTGCTGCTGGGTGCATGATTCCAGTATAGGATTATCTGCTAGTATGTTTGTTGCTGATGGTTGTGTCCTGCATTGAACCAAATATGTGTTAGGAGTAGAAAGAAATTAAAAACAACTAGATAAAGAAAAACAAAATAAAAGAAGGAAAGAGTTTAGAAACATTGGGTTGCCTCCCAATAAGCGCTTTATTTTAAGTCTGTAGCTAGACGTCGCAGAAGCCTGGTGGTCAGATCACTGGTTCCTTCAGAGTCAGTGACTCGCGTGCAATATCAAAGGGTGACTCCAAATATGGTTTCAGCCTGTGACCGTTCACTTTGAATGTGTTGCCATTAATTTCACTTGTAATATCAACCGCCCCATGAGGATAAACCTTAGTAACCAAATAGGGGCCATTCCAACGAAGACTTTAATTCTCCGGGAAATAACTTAAGCCTTGAACTGAATAACACAACCTTTTTCCCTGGCCGAAATTCCTTTCGCAAAATTTTACTGTCATGAAATGCCTTAGTTCTTTCCTTGTAGATGCGAGAACTGTTATAAGCACCTTGACGAGTTTCCTCTAGCTCCTTTAACTGCAATTTCCGCTTTTTCGCTTTTCCCCTGCTGAGCAACTTATCTGTATTTGAACTTGCCTGAAAGCTGGCTTGAACCATATTGTCTACCACATCAATGTGCATACATTCCTGCTGTTCAGCAGGACGTTTTGCTCCTTCAAACAAATTAAAAACCACATATTGGTCTTGAACTCGTAAAGTTAATGTTCCAGCTTCCACATCAATTAAAGTCCTAGCTGTTGCCATAAACGGTCTCCCCAAAATAATCGGTGTTTGCATGTCTTCATCCATATCCAAGACCACAAAATCTGCAGGAAGATAGAGATTATCCACTTTAATAATGAGGTCTTCAATAATTCCCCTAGGGTAAGCAACTGAACGGTCCGCCAGTTGTAGAATAACTGATGTAGGCTTGATTTCTCCTTGTCCTAGTCTCTGAAAAACAGAAAAAGGCATTAAATTAATACTGGCACCCAAATCAATTAAAGCACGTTTAAAATTAGAATTTCCAATTGTGCATGAAATTGTAAAACTCCCTGGGTCTTGTTTCTTTGGAGGCAGTTTGTGTAATAAAACTGCACTGCACTGTTCTGTAAGAATAACTTTTTCAAAATCCACGAGCTTCTTTTTCTTTGTGCAAACATCCTTTAAAAACTTGGCATAAGATGGAATGTTCTTAATTGCATCAATCAATGGGAGATTGATCTGAACTTTGGCCAACGTCTTCATAAAATCTGTCAACTGTTGATCTTTAACTTTGGGCTTCAACCTTTCGGGATAAGGCATTGGAGGCACATAAACATGTTATGCAGTTTTTGCAGCAATTTTTTCACTATTTTCGGATCTGCCCATAGACTCTGTAGAATCTGCAAAAATTGCAGAATCTGCAGCAATATCAGATTCGGTGAATTTTTCTGAATCTGTTTGTGGCTGTGATGCTGCCTGCGAACTTCCAGCACAAATTTCACCTCTATTGTCATAACTTTTACCCGAACGTAGAACTCGAACTGCCTTACAATCTGCGCCTCCCCTTGGATTCTGTTCAGTTTGGCTAGGAAATGTACCTGGTGCTCTTTCTGAAACTTGGAATGCAATCTGTCCCATTTGTTTTTCTATGTTTTTCACTGTTGCCTGTAGATTTTGGAATTCTTGACTAGTGGCGTTTGCTAATTTTTCAATTGCAACCTCCCAAGCAGCCTTAGGCGCAGCAGGTTGCTGTACCTGTTGTTGAAATTGTGGCCTTGCAGGCTGATCTCTGTCCCACTTAAAATTAGGATGATCTCTCCAACCCGGGTTGTAAACATTTGAATACGGGTCATATCTTGGACGTTGAAAATTATTAAATGCATTAACGTGTTCTGCTGCAAATTCCGGATAAGCATCTTTATGCGGACAGCTCAAAAAATCATGGGTTGTCACATTGCAAATGCTACAGGCAACTGGTAAAGGTTGCTGTACAGCAACCTGTGAACCTGGAATTCTTTGTAATAACATGTCAAATTTTGCATCAAATCTTTCAAGCTTTTTCTCCATTTTTTCAATTTGTGCCGACATATATGGAGAACCATTAGATATCTCAAAAATAGACCTAGATTGTGGCTGCTCAACTGCCCATTGATGTGTATCTGCTGCCATTTTTTCAAATAATAAACAAGCCTCTTGTGCATTTTTATCCTTGTACGAACTGCCGCATGAAGCGTTGACAAGAGTTTTTGTTGTCATATTTAACCCTCTGAAAAATATATGCACTTGATCCGTACTGCTAATACCAGAATGTGGGCATTTTCTATTCAACTCTTTAAACCGTTCCCACGCCTCATGAAACTCTTCATTTGGTTTTTGGGCAAAAGATA